AGTTCCCCCTTCATACTACATAATCACATACTTCCAGGCATATATGGGTGTCCGGCCTACCCTGTTAGTTATATCTGGGTGCACGACCTACCCTGTCAAGTATATCTGGGTGCTCGACCTACCCTGTCAGGCATATCTGGGTGCCGAACCTACCCTGTCAGGCATATCTGGTTGCCCGACCTACCCTGTCAGGCATATCTGGGTGCCCGACCTACCCTGTCAGGCATATCTGGGTGCCCGACCTACCCTGTCAGGCATATCGGGGTGTCCGACCTAACCTACGGTGTATTTCAACCGGTTATGGGGTCTATTTCACCCCTACCACTACCACTTAATAACATAGCATACAAGCACATAAATATCAACAGATAGTGTCATACCAGACAATTATCATAAAGACAAGCATCTCTACTATAAACAACTACTAGTAGGTCGACATTGGTGCCTTCCACCCACCTATACAGGGAAGGTAACTCACATCAACTGAGTATGCCAAAATCATACTCCTCGGATGGCTCAGGACTCCTTACCCTAAAGTACAACAAATTCCTTAATCAGATATTAGATCAAAATATGACTCCCTTATGGCCCAACTTCTAATTCATATCCCAAGGCAAGGTTTCTTAATCCTTGCCATATTGGGTCTCTTTCTCCCAATGCCCAACTTATAGCCAAATTAAGGCCCACATCCATTCCTTTAAGCTTTAAGGCCCACCAAGGCCCAAAACCATAAATCCTAGGTCTAGGCCCAGAGGACTTACTCCACAATGGGTCATGAGGCCCAACAAATTTAGGCCCAACACCCTAAGGCCTAAAAACACCTTTGACCACTCTGCATGCGTACGCGCGGCGTACCTAGCACGTACACCCAGTGTACACTAGCCTTGACCAACTTCGGGGAGGTTGGCCCAGTACGCGCAGCGTACTAGGGGTACGCCCGGCGTACTGACCAGTCTCCTAAGAAACTCCTTTGTGACTTAATCCATTAAGTCCTAACGTCTAAAACATAGATCCAGTCCCTTTAAGACATCTTAAACCATAAAGTTACAAACTTTATGTCTTTGCATGCATGGGTGGGGGTTAAGACATGATTTAAGTCCTTAAACACACTTTGTGACCATCTAACCCTTGCATGGTTGTGGCTTAACCATCAAGGCCCGATTTTTATGGATCTAAATGCTTCCAGGAGCTCAAAAGGACAGCTCTTACGGACTGGAAATACCATAACACAAGAGATCTCAACTATGGAGCCAAAATACCACAAATAACATCCCAAAACTATGTCCAACCATGCAATTGTCAAGGTTAAAGCTTGATACCTCAAATGAGTTAGAAAAGATGGCAAACTTCTGGATCTACAAGCTCTGTTCACGTTCTTGCTCGTTCTTCAAGCTCCTTGCACTTCAAAACCACCAAAATAGCACCAAAATGCTCAAAGTAAGCTCAAGATACAAGCAAGAGGGTTAGGGTTTGAGTTGGACACTAAGAGAGCAATGGATGCTAAGAGGATAAGGGTTTGGAGGGATATAAGATGCTTAAACCCTAAAATTTAGGGTTTGCATCTAACCAGCCTACGCCCAGCGTACGTATGGGTACGCCCAGCGTATGCATGAGGACTTCTCGATTTGTGCCTCTCGTATGTACGCCGTGCGTACACCTTGTACGTCCAGCGTACGCCTCAGCCCCAAAATTCCAAATATAAGCATAAGTATAACTTGAATGGGAAGCAACATAATACTTGACAAATCTCGGGCGTTACAAAGAGATAAAAACAATGATTATGTTGAACAAGTTGGGTACGACATTATATTATTTGTTTATTCACATAGTGTACTTCCTCAAATTATGTATGATGTGGATCTCCATGGATATTGTAAGATAAGTCGGGTTTAGAACAATCATCTTTGTAAAAGGCGGACTCCCAAAATATTGAATCCAACATATTTTTTGTTTTGGAAAGGGATGAAACCTTTACATATGTGTGGAAATGTGGGGATGTCTAAAAAAAGAATTGGAACCGGTTTAAAATCATTCACTTGTTTTTTCAAGAAAAATGGTTATTGATTTCTTCGTTATAAATATAGAACCTAATAATGATTCATTATTTTAAGATATTTCCATAAAATCCAATAATATTGGATTAAATTCATCAAAAAGGAACATTAGATGTTTTTATTAATAATGAGGAATTCAACATGAAGTTGAAAGGATTATGTATTGAAATAAGTGTAATCTTCTTGTCAATGGCAAATGAGGGACAACGGTTGATGAAGTGACATGTCATAGAAGTGGTTTCGGCTGAAAAAGTATTTGGTAATTCGGAATTGGACAACATACATCGAACTTTCTCTATAATCTTCTGATTCATTCTTTACACAATGTTATTTTGTTGAGGAGTATAAATCACCATGTGGTGGCAAGTAATGTCTTAACTTCTACAATATGTATTGAACTTCCCGAAACAAAATTGTAAACCATTGTGAGTGCAGAGATCTTTAATTTTCTTTCCCAGTTGCTTTTCAATCATTATTATCTACTCTTTGAAAGTGGCAAAAACATCACTTTTATGCTTCAAAAATAATGTTGAAACACTTTTGAGAAAATTCATCAGTAATGATCAATGTATATTGAGCACCTCCACATGATGATACCTTCACGAGTCCTCTAGTCCCTAAAGGTCTGACTGCAAGTAGTAAAGGAATCCACCACTATAATGAGTAAACGAAGAAAATCATAATCTTTTGTTTTTCAAAACATAATGCTCACAAAATGGAAGCTTAATAGTGTTTTGGCCACATAGTAAATTTCGCTTACTTAATTTTTCTATACGAAACTCGCTTGTATGGCCAAGTCTCACATGCCACAACTTGGTAATATCAATAGACAATGATGCAACATCGAAAACACCCATAATAGTAGACATATCCAACACATAAAGATTGGTTGCCTTTATTGTTCCCTTCGTAATCACAAAAGATCCTTTGCTAACTCTAATTGCTCCGCCTTCGGTGTCATACTTCTAGCATTTTCAATCAAGTGAAGTAAGAGAGATTAAGGGGGTGTTTGGGATTGCTTTTGAACATGAAAAGTCTTTTTTGTAGAAAGACTTTTTGCAAAAGGAGCTATTTAAAATGCGTTTGGATTAACAAAATGACTTTTAAAAAATCAAAAAAAGTCATATTTTGTGACGTTTTAAAACCCCTCTTTTTCTTCTATTCAAAAAAATATTTTCAAAAGAACTTTTCTATTATCCAAAAATCTTTTGGGTTTCTGGAAAAATTAAAAGTTCAAAATGATTCTAAAAGTAGGACATGTTTCGTGTTCCCAAGGAGTCCAAACACCTCTAAATTTTGCTTCAAAAATAGGACATGCTTCGTGTTCCCAAGAGTACAAACAATATCGTACAACATGATAGAATATTCCTAACTCCTTCAACATTGCGATTACACCATCTCCCATGTTGGGTTCATCCGAATAAAACTCTCTTTCTCTCTGTTTTGGTGCGTGAAGAACATAAGTGGCAGAAACCGATGGGGATTCAGGCGGCCTCGTCGTAGGGTCTCAGGAGGCAACGAGCAAACCGCTCGCCTCAGCCATTCACGCGGCTTCAAGGCGGAGATGAAACATCAAGCAAGCCGCTTAAACCAACCAGTGCATCAACCATCTGATCCTAACCCTTCCATGTGACTTCTAGATTTCGTGAGACAGTTACATACATTTACTGTCCTTTTTATTCTGAAATAATGAGTTGCTCTGTACTCATACTACTTGTCAAAGCGGTCATTCACTTCAAAACAGCCCCAAATTAACGTGGCTGTCCAAATTGTATGCTTTATTGCATTCAAACAAAAGAGCTTCTTCATCCATAATGTGTTGACATGTGTTTGTAAATAAAATTTACTTGTTAAGTTCATTTATATATCTTGTAAATACGTATTGGAAGTTTGTTTTCTGCTGGTTTATTTTAATTTTGCAGCATTCATAAAATGGAAATAGCTTCAATTTTTTACAATGTTGACAGATGGATGCTGCTCCTGTCCTAATAGAATGAAGTCAAGTGTTTTGGAAATTCCATCTTTTGGTGACTGGATATGCTGACTAGCGAGTTTTTTGTAAACCATATCTGCAGTGAATCGTCTTGCTTGACTTTTTTTTTCTCAGTTTGTATATACTTTGATCTACAATTCCTTTTCTGTTATAGTTTTGGATTGGTTAAAAGTTAATCATATGCCCTGCAATGTGAAATGGGCATCTGTGGAACCAAAATATGGCAACAACTTTATTGCTGGAAGGGAAAAGACATGTGAATCCAAAGGGAGAAAGAAAGTTGCTGATATTGTCACAAAGTTGGGAGGATTTGAAAATTGAAGATTTGAGGTTGTGTTGTTAATTTGTGGATCTATGCTATGACTTCATCTTTTGAGTTAAACACAACACTCCATGTTGATTTTGGTTCACAATTATGTCATATTTGGTATTTCACTTGATCTAATAATTAGTGTGGTATTCTGTCACTAATGATGCTAAGATAGTCCTTAGAAATGTTAGACTGAGGATGAGTAGTTTGGTGATAGAAATAGGAGACTAGGATTTGCATTTTGCAATCCATTAAATTTGTACTTTTTATGTGTAGTACAAATCATTTGCAATGAATGAGAGCCATCATTCAAGAAAATTCCAATGATGAATTATACAAGAAAATTAAGCAGAAATGAACTTTGCAAAGTTGGGGTCAACTAATTGCGATTAGAAGTTATAGTCTTATAGATATAAGTGGTAGGCAAGAGACCGAGTGTTATAAATTTTAGTATAAAGTGTTCAAAAATCAAATTCATAAAAAGTTTGGACTTTTACACAACATTTCTAGTTTTCTACTTGTCTCTTTTAAATGTTGAATGACAGCGACTCTCATACAAATGGATGGCTAGGGAGAAAGTCGGACGAGAGTTTACAACTGAATGATACAACATATTTAATTATACACCAACACACTCAAATAGCTAATTAACATCTCTATTTATGGAAACCCTCGAATAATTTACACTGACAAAATTTGCTTCATGAGGCGCTCCTCGTTTAACCGTTTCTATATCTAGCCCTTTGCAATCATGGAAAAGTAAATGTCGGATGGATGACATGTTGGTTAACCACATAGGCAGCTCTTGTATTCCAAATTTATGTATTTGTAACCGAGTCAGTGAGGTGAGGTGTTGTATTTCTTCTGGCATTAATTCCCAATCATCCCAACCCCACAAGTCCAATGAGTGAAGGTGGTCCCTTAACTTCTCGATACCTTTGAGACTTGGGAGATAATCGAGCTCCTGTGAAAACGGACCAAGTTTCAACTTATTTAAGAATGCAAAACAATCAAACATTTTTAGAGGCAAGAAATTCAGTTTGCTGCAGTAGGTAATTTTCAAAATCTTCAAAGAATGACACTCGTTGGGCAAATTGGTTATTCCTAAAAGACTATCACACCTGGAAATTACTAAAGTTTCGAGAGATGTAAGGCCTTGTATGCTCTTAATGGACACCAGACCTGTGCAAGCTCTAATCTCTAAGGAATTAAGAGGGTGGGGATGGGATTCATCTAAGAGAACAATCTTCGGGCAATCCCGAATGGACAAGCTCTCGAGGACAGGAGAAATCATTTTTGAGCTGTTGGGTGCTCCATCTATCCACTTTTCCAGTCTTTTCATATGTATTAGTCCGAGCGCTCTTAACAATGGAAACAAAGGCTTCATTGATCCGGTAACATCGGAATTCCTTAAGCATGTCAAACTGTCCATATTAGATAAGAAAAGATTCCGAAGATGTGGTAGGTGCTCAAGCATTGGAAGAGAGAGGCAGCTGCGACATCCACTTAGTGAGATCTTCGTGAGATTGTGAAGTGGCGTCCAATCTGGAAAATTATCACCAGAAAATTTGTTAATTGTCAATGTTTTCACATCTCTAGGGGGTTGTAAGCCTTCCAATACATCCTTGTCATTTCTGTTGGCACCTTCATTATACTCACTCCAATTGAATTCAATATCGTATATGTTTTTCTTGCTTGATAAACCTGCCTTGATAGCATCCTCTTTGCTCCTAACATTTTCTAGATTGAAAATACAGAGCTTTCCACTAAGCTTATTCAGATGGCGTAGCACTTCAATACCATGTCCCATACTACTAAGCACTGTGAAGGAAGACAAATTTCGAATAGAGGTTAGGTGTCCTACAATATTGGCGGGAATCTTTATGTGACCCTGGAAATATCGCAGGCTTATTAAATTTCTCATGGATTCTGGAAACTGCTTAAATCCATAAGGCAACTTTAGAGTTTGCAAGTGGTATAAGTTACCAATAGATTCTGGAAGAACATGGATCTCCGTATATGACAAATCAAGATACCTGAGATGCACCAACTCTCCAATAGAATCGTGTAACTTATTTATATGATATCCTTTGAGTTTTAAGATTCTCATGCACTTGAATCGTTCAAATGAAAAATTCTTCTCGACTTCACCCTCGATGAACAATGTGCGCAAAGTTCTAGCCACTATATCCCTTTCAATGAACTTACAAATCTTGCCTTCTAATTCATGATATAATTGGTAAAAAATGAGATGCTTAACCTGTGGAATACGAGCAATATCATCATTCTTCACACCCATCAGACGTAAGCTTTCATGTTTCGAAAGTGATAACAAAAGATCATGCACCAGATCATGCATACTACAATGAGTGATGTGACCATACTCGTCCCTTTTAACATCTTGGAACAATGAATTGTTAACCAATATTTGAAAAATATCATTTCCCACAACCTCCATCTCCTTGTTACTTGCCTCATCTGCTTGAACCAACCCTAAAGCCATCCAAAGTCGGACCAGTTCTTCCCTTTCCATTACCGTGTCTTTTTCAAAGATGGAACAATATACAACACATTGCTTGATAATAGAATTGGGGTGATTATCAAAGCTCAGTTCCAAACTCTTTTGAATGCTATCCCTTTCTTCTTCTAGATCCCAAACCTTGCTATTTTTTATGGATAACCACTTCTCTAGACCACTGTAATTTGCCAACATGCCACCTATAACATTTAATAGTAATGGTAAACCACCACACTTATTCACAATCTCACGACCTATCTCCTCCAATTCTGGTGAAGGTGATTCTCCTCCAACAAACGCTCTTTCTCTAAAGATTGACCAACACTCATCATTGGAAAGACCTTCCAGACAATACGAATCCATGATCATATCACGAGTGCCAATTTCAAGTTTCCGTGTAGTGACAAGAATGCAACTTCCATTTTGTGAGTTTACACCTAGCATACATCTCCTAAACTCTTCCCAATATGGCCTCTCTTCAACCCAAACATCATCCAAGACCAGAAAATATCTTTTTGATCCTAACTTCTCTTCAAGACTTTTAATTAAATTAACCTTAGAGTCCGACTCCGGTTTCTTTCCAACAAGAGATTCATAGATCTTTGCAAGAAGAGTGATGATGTCAACCTTAACCGACACACACAACCATGCTCTCACATGAAAATAATCCTTGCTCTTTTTATCATTGTAAACCAACTTAGCCAAAGCTGTCTTCCCAATACCGCCCATTCCGACAATGGGAACAACTGTAAGTTTTTCTTCCTTTCTTGATTGGGTTAAAAGCTCTATGATACGTAGGACATCATCATCCCTCCCAACAATCTTGAATTCTTCTGGATGTGGAATAGTCTCCCGATAGAGTCCATCTGGAACAGGGCCAGCTGGGTGTTCATTTTGTAGTCCTAAACCGTTTGCTTGTGTATAGATCTCAAGCAACGTTTTATTGATGTTTTCGATTTTATGACCTATTTCATTACGAAATGAAAACTTTTTTAAGATTGGAAGGCACGATACCTTTCTTGACAACCGATCTGGTTTCTTTATCTGACGCCTCAACATTTCGTAATGAACCTCGTCCAACACATCATCAGCTTCACCCACTACATCTTTTAGCTGCTTCAGCCACACCATCACAGCTTGTGTTCCCTTTTGACTTTCCGCGTCGCTCAACTTGGCTCGAATCAGATCCAATGTTCTGTGAAGGCTGGTCAGTTTTTCTTCACAGCCCCAAGCAATGGCGATTTCGCTGGCAGCTATTGACAACACTTTTTTAAGTATCCCCTCGGCAGCAATAGTGACTAATGCTTCGGCCATTTTCACTGTTGAGAAAGCTAGAGTGAGACGATGAGAGAGAGAGAGAGAGAGAGAGAGAGAGAGAGAGAGAGAGGGGGAGGGGTCAGGGCAATGTGCAGCGGAAACAAATTAGAAGTCATTTTAAACTCCTCTTTTTTTTATTTCTTACTTTTATCTTTTATTTTACTATTATATTATATAGATATATATATATATATATATATATATATATATATATATATATATATATATATAGGACGGTTCAATTGATAAAAAAAAATGTTGAGAATGGAGGAATCATTCTCAGCCAATTATTTAATTAGCATCTTAACATAAAATACACGGTGGCAAAATTGTAAATATGATATGATATCCTTCAATCACAGATACATAATTGTGGATAATTTGATAACAATTCAAATTCATTACTACTCGATCGTTTATCATCCAAATTTCTTCTCCAATCTTCAACGATCATCTAGATTTCTTCAATTAAATCATCGATCAACATCATCCAGTGTTAATCAATCATTCATCTTCGTCAAAAACACGTTCATCAACATCATTCAACAGTAGATAAAAAAAATCGTTTTTGGTTCTTTCAATCCAACCTTCAATTATGCTTGAATTCGAGCATATCTTCAACATCTACGATTAATTATACTCCCAGTGTCATTAGATCAACATCATCGATAATCAACAACAATTTCACTTCATATCATTCATTCAACATCGATCATCAAACAAAACTTCTAAATTAAGGTTAGAAAAACGTCAAATCATTTTTTTTAAAAAAAAATTCATATAATTCTCTATCAATCTACTATTTTGTAAGTTTTAAATAGTCAAAGTATCATGTTTTTAGCATTTTTAAAAAAACTTACTTGTATGCACTCCAACTGTTTGATGAAATGCATAAACTAAATTATCACGTTATATTCACATATGAATATGTTTTCGCACCGTAATCAGTATATGATTATTAAAACACAAAACAAATATACAATTTTATATGTTATTCATATGTGAATAACATATAAAAATTATATATATTTGTGAATATACCTTGTAATATTCATATATTAGTATCCTGTGTAATATTCATATGTGAATAAACTGTGTAATATTCACATATGAATATACCATCTAATATTCATAAGTGAATATATCATCTAATACTTACAAGTGAAAATACTATGTAATATTCACAAGTGAATGCATCATTTAATATTTAAATATGAATATATTGTATCATATTCACAAGTGTATATACTATATATTATTCATATGTGAATATACTGTGTAATATTCATGAATGAATATACCATGCAATATTTGGATGTGACTAGAATGTGTAATATTCACAAGTAAATATACCATATACTATTCACATGTGAATCTACCATATAATATTCATATGTGAATATACTATGTAATATTCATTTGTGAATATACCATGTAATATCACATGTAAATATACAATATAAACAACATATATCATATAATATTCACATATGATTATACATTCATGTGTGAATATACCATATGATAATTAGAATGTGATAAATCGCTATTATTATGAACTAAAAGTATATTTTTAACATTTTTTATGTGTATTCACATGTTTTTCAGGCATCGTTATAACTCAATAAAAGAATAACATTTCAATCAATGGTTGGTTCATATCTCGGTGGTTGACGATTGGTTGACGTAATTGAGAAGATATCATTGACGAAGACAATATGTTTTTATATTCACGTGTAAATATTATACAATTTAATATATTCTTCATTTTGATCGTGTTAAATTCAAATGCAAATGATATTCATTAACCAATACAATGTTGTTTGTCTTAGTATAATGTTGATTTTACATGTAAAATAATATTGTTACAATATACAAAAAAACTATTCACAAACCAATTCTTATAGTGTATTATTTATTTTTATATATAAATGTTGTATTCACAAAATAAATAAATCAACATATATAGTTTATTCGCATAAATAAAAATAACAGATTACAATGATGTTTTTACTAGTGTGATTGAAGTTAGTAACATCATCAGCAAATATGTCGTAATGATTTCTAAACTTTATTCATATTTGAATAAATAGCATGTCATGATGATGTCATCACTAGTAGGAATGAAAATTTAGTGACATCATCAAAACAATTTGCCGCAATGAAGTTTAGTCTCGGAATTGGACGAAATTCGCATATTTGATGTAAAATGGTGCGATTTACAAAACTCACCGCTTCGCCGTGACGTACGGTGTTTTTCGGCCATTCGGGACTGTTTAGGGCCTCAAAATGACGTTTTCTATTTTATAATTTTCCGAAAAAAAAAGTTATCATTTATTCACAAATGAATATAACATTAATAAAATATATATGCTTATATAATTATTTTATTAACCTAAAAAGATTAGTTGTATGTGAATAAATATATATTCTTATCAAATACTTTTTTTATCTTTAATTTTATATATTTTGTAGTCCTCGGTTTTATTGACAGTTTTATTCATTTGTGAATAATACATATATATTCACATTTGATTATTACATATATATTCATTTGTGAATATTACATATGTTCACATGCGGATATAATTCTTATATGTTATTCACATATGAATTACAAACTTGCTTAGGACCTCAAAACAATGTTTCTTTTTTCCGAAAAAAATACATTATCACTTATGAATAAAAAGTATGATTAATTTTTTTATAATTTAAATATCATTCATATATGAATATAGCATATAATAAACATAATATATTCATATTTAAATATTAGACGATGCATTCAATTGTGAATATTACATAGTATATTCACTTGTGAATATTAGATGGTATATTCACTTATGAATATTATATGATATTTTCATATGTGAATATTACATAGTATTACATGGTATATCACATGCGAATTTTACATAGTATATTCACTTGTGAATATAATATGATATATTCACTTATGAATATTACACAGTATATTCACATATGAATATTACAATGTGTTTTCACAAATATATATAATTTTTATACGTTATTCACATATGAATAACATACAGACTTGCATATTTGTTTTTTTTTAATAATCATATACTGATTCAGGTCGGAAAACATATTAATATGTGAATATAACGTGGTAATTTAGTTTATGCATTTCATCAAACAGTTGGAGTGCATACAAGTTAACTTTTTTAAAAATGTTAAAAACATGATACTTCCAATTCAAGTTATCAATTCCAAATCATCATATACTTCCGATTTCGACTTTGAAGCGTGCAATTCCGATTTTCATTTCATTCCAAAAAAAATCTGATTTCAATTTTGAAACCTTGAAATCCCGATTCCAGATTTCTTTGTAATACTAATAATCAAGACGCAAACTGTTCCGATTAGAATATATGTTCCAATTTCAAAAGCTTCCGAATTCAGATGTGACATCCTATGTCTGATCGATTTCACATTTTGATTTTGATTTCCGAAAATCCGATTAGGAACCTGTGAGTACCGATTCTGAGTCCTTCAATGTCGACTGTGACTGCGAGTCCAGAACTCCAATTCCAATTTCATGAACAACAAAGAAATTCCGATTCCAACTGAGTTCGTTTGAGAATCTGGGAAATTCAAATTCGGAGTATTCAACAAAGAAATTGATGTTACGTATTTGAGATTGAAGGTTATTATCATATTTACAAGTTTGCCACCGTGTCTTTTATGGTTAGATTAAATGAGTGGCTGAGAATGATTCCCCCATTCTCAACCTTTTTTATTTTCTCAATTGAACTTACCTATATATATATATATATATATATATATATATATATATATATATATATATATATATATATATATATATATACCCTAATCTAATAAATAAGTAGAATCTCGCCACGTGGCATTCACATAGCCGCCCCCCCCCCCCCCCAATCGAATTTTCCCACTCTTTTCTTATAATGTTAATTTCCGATAGTACCCTTCAAAAAACAAAACGATTGCTTAAATTCTGGACTTGATTTTGACTTCATCCTGCAAAATTCAAATTAATGGAAGAATTAATGGAAAGTAAATAATCATTATTTTATTTCTAACGATAAACGTATCTTTCAAATTCTTTCAAATATATCATGATTATCAACTCCTAAAAAAACGCAATTTAGCTAATCAATTTATCTTAAATACATTCTCACGGTTATTTTCATTCACAGCGAATCCAAAATTCATAGAAAAAGAAATCGTTGTAGGAAATCTTCAAGTCGCCTTCTGTTATTGCTTTAAGGTATGCTATTAAATTTTTTTTTTATGGTTATTCACTGTGTGCATGTTGAAGTCGTCTGATATCTGTTTCTATCTCAATGTATTTGTCACTGTTATCAAATCTTCAAGTCGCCTTCTGTTATTCTTTTATGTAGGCTATTAAAATTTTTTCTTATAATTATTGAATGTGTTCATCTTCATGTCGCATTCTATCTGTGACTATCTAAATGTATTACTCACTATTAGTGTATGTATATATTTTAAATATCGATGTAATAAATTGTTTACTTGTCACTCTTTATGTCAATGGTTTAAACATTGTATGTGTATCTGTAACCTTGTGTGTATATGTATGTCTGTTTCTTTTTTCCCTGATTTCTAATCAGCCATGGCATGTCATTAATAATGAAATCAAAATCAAAATTCTGTTATGCTTTGTTATTTTAATATACTGATTTATTCATCAGATTAATATATTTTGTTGTCATTCAATGTGTATGCAATAAATTTTGTATAATATGCAAAAAATAGCTGATTTGTATCTTTATTGTATGACTATATCGTTTCATTTTTTATATGCATGTAACAGTTAATACTCTTTCGATTATTCCAATGTGTATGCATGTGTGTGACTGCTTAACTGTTTAATTTCTTGACTGCTTAACTGCTTAAATGCTTAATTTCTTAAATGTATATGTAGCTAATCAAAAATTACAAAAATTACCGTTTTGCCCATGGTCATACATATATAGCCACACACACACACATAGACAAATTAATATATTTTGTTGTCATTCCTTTGGTTATTAATTTATAACTTGAAATGTATTCAATAACATCCAAACACTGAATGTATGTTAATAAGTCTGGAAATGGTGTACTCATCTTTTACAGTGTGTATATATATATATCTGTTTATTTCTTACCTGATTTCTAATCAATCTGCCATGGCATGTCATGGCTAATGAAATCAAAATCAAAATTCTGTTATGCTTTGTTATTTTAATATACTGATTTATTCATTAAATTATTATATTTTGTTGTCATTCAATGTGTATGCAACAAATTTTGTATAAATGCAAAAAATAGCTGATTTGTATCTTTATTTTATGATTATATCATTTCATTTTTTATTTTCATGTAACAGTTAATACTATTTCGATTATTTCAATGTGTATGCATGTGTGTGACTGCTTAACTGTTTATTTTCTTGACTGCTTAAATGCTTAACTACTTAATTGCTTAACTGTATGTGTAGCACCTCAATAATTACAAAAATTACCGTTTTGCCCATGGTCATACATATATATCCACACACACACATAGACAAATTATATATAATTGTTTCAATAAAATTATATGTTTATTGTATGTGTGTTTTTGGATTCTGTTTGGTACTATTGCTTTTCATGGTGTTCACTACTCAATCATATGCTTTCAATTTAAATGAAAACAGTAAAATGGATATTAATTTCCATATTCTATCAATTGCTTGCTGGAAATGAATATCGGCAATAAACTATACCTAAAAGACATTGAAGATATTGCTGATGATTCACATCTCAAACTACGGGTGTTAAAGATTTGGAATTTTATAAAAAATAACCAGGTTTTATCGATTGAAATGATCGTCATGGACGAGGAGTTTGGTTAATTTTTTTTTAAACCAACTACATATTACATATGTTTCAATGAATAATTTTTTTTATTTGTTTTAACAGGGTACAAAATACCAATCTCCTGTTTTCAACCAAAATTTTTCCAGATTTCGTGACCTTTTAAAGGAAGGTGAAAGTTATATCATTTTAAAACCAAACATGACGGCTGTTAAAAATGGTTTTAGTGTTACTGGTCACAAACAGACCTTAACTTTGGATTGGAAAAGTATCGTAAAAAAATGTGATGATTTTTCGGGTCCAGTTAATGGTTTTGTGTTTGCTGATTTTAACTCTATCATCAAACAGAAATGTCCAAGAGACTCATTTTTTGGTTAGTTGTTTAATTTTATTCAATTCACTTTTATAACTTGTGTAATTTATTATAAATGTTAGTATTTTAATATTTAACTTAATCTTATATATTATTTTTTATTAAAATTTAGTAGATGTTATTGGGTAAATTGTGTCATTCAGGCCACTTGAGACAACCAATCCTAATCCATCAAGGCATTACATAAAGATGACTATTAGCAACTTACAGTGAGATGATGTTTATTTAATTTTTTTATTATTTTGAATCATATTTTTCCATACTAATTAAATTATTTTTTTATTTAGGTCTGTACACCTCAATGTCACTATATTTGGAAGTCAGGCACACCAAATGTCACAGTACCTGAAAAGTAACACCACGGTTACTTGTGTTGTTATAGTGATGCAGTTTGTGAAACTTAACGTTTGGGATGGTTTGTAGTTTATTGGCTAATCTGTTTTCCAATCTACTTTTATTGACTAATCTGTTTTTACAGGAATTGGTCAAGCCCAAAGTCATTTTGATGTAACCAAAATGTTCATTAATTCTGACATTGTTGAAATTAATGAGTTTAAGAAAGAGTTAGTTTTTTTTTATTTTTATTTAAACTTATTTATGTTATTATTATTATTTAAATGAATACAATTTTTTATATTTAATAAAATATTTTTAAACTTTACAGATTGAAAGCTGATAACAATGGAGGTATGTCTGAAAAAAGCATAACTACACTCCCAAGCTACTCTTCTTCTTATATAGATGATTTTAAAGGGGATTTCCCTTTAAAAACTGTTTGTGAGGTCACAGAACCACTGAAGGTATATTTTCTTTACTTTATATCTTTTAATTTTATTTAAACATTGTATTTTTATTTAATTTTACATTTTATTTGATATAAGAAATGAAATTTCTATTAGTTGGTACCATTGTCAATATAAGACAGAATCTACCTTGGTATTACGATGCGTGCTACAAATGTGGAAGAAGGATAAACAATGTGCCCTAAACCAATCTTTCCTATACCGCCCCCGGCAAGATGGAAGATAGTGTTGTTATTAAGTGTAAAAATGCAGCTTGCAACAATTCGGATTTTCATACTGTTATAAAGTATACACATATCTATTTATATTAATCATTTCAATTTTCAACAAAATTAGTATTAATCTAATATTTTATTTAGGTATATAATTCCAATCAACGTACAAGATCATACTGGCACCATCAGATTTACTCTTTTTGATAGGGAAGCAAAAAGGCTGTTGGAAATAAGTGCATTTGAGTTGAAAAAAATACATGAAGCGGTATAATATTTTATTCATATTTTTTCTATCTAATAACATTTTATTTGTTTTAATATATCACACAACCTTCTTACAGGCTGGCGACAGTTTGGAACTATTTCCAAATCAAATGAACGTCTTGAAAAACCGCAAATTTGCGTTTCTTGTAGATATTACAGCCTACAATGTCACCAACTATAACAATATCTACACCGTTGTCAAACTTACAGAAGATGTGTCCATTGTTTCCGAATTGGAAAGTAAACTAGAACTTATGGTACATAATGTTTTGATGTTCAACATTTATATTTGTTTTTTATTTAGATACATAACGTTTTACATATTTCAATTTTACTTTCTAGAGTGTTCAATCAGTGCCCTTAAATGAAGTACCCCTGGAATCAGATGATGTTGTTCAGAATGTTCAAAAGGTATGTTATATTACCATATTAACTTTTATTTATATTTAATTATTCCAATTCTCAACTTATGACTTTTTAATTTAGGATGTCATATCACAAACGGACGAGAGTTTTACTCCCTCAACAGCTGATAAATCATCCGCAACAAGTCCAATGAAAATATCAGGTGATTTGAAGCGCAACCTCCATGACATTTATGATGTTGATGGTGGAGGTGATTTGAGTTCAACAAAATCTAAAAGAATATCAATGGGAGAGGGAAATCCACTTTTAGTTCCAAAAGTGGAAAAGTGAGTTGTTTTTTGTTTTAACAAACAAATAAATTTCTGTTCATCTTGGTTTGGTTTACAATAATGTTTTGTGATTTGGTACTAAAAGTGGTTGGAAATGTAGGTAGTTATTGGACAAATTTTAAGACAAGGGTTCATTTTAATTTTACTCATTTTGGTTCATTTGTTTATTGTTTTGGTTTTTATATAAACATTATAGTAATGCATTTACATTTCTTTACCTATAATAGCAATATACATTTTTAATGATAATAGGTATCAATATGTTACTTCAAAATTGAAAATTGTAATTTATTTATTACCCATGATAGCAGTGTACTTATATCTCTTTACAGTTAAAAACATTATATTTAATTACTAGGTTACAACCCGTGGGAACCACGGGTAAAAAAAAATAAAATTTTAATACATTTTGTTATAACAAATGAAATGGATATGTTTGTTTCTGTATTTTTTTATGTTTATGCGTGAGAAAAGATAATGGGCATAACAATATGTTATTTTACCCGTTAGTGGTAAAATATAAAGTTTGGTAAAATAAAGGAAACAGTAGAATTAAAACGGGCAAAAAATATGTGAGACATAGCAAGCTGAAATATATCTATTTAGTGAGAAAATTCGGATAAAGTGTAAAGTTTGAACTAATATTAGTTTCCAAAATTTAAGCGACATTATTGCACCGTGACTTTAAATTAAAATAGGGGCATTTTTTGTATTTCAATTTGAGTGAAAGAGGAATGACAAATTGACACGTAGGACATTAACGTTTCCTTATTAGATAGGAAGATTTATATTTACTTACTTATAACAACATACTTTCATTGATTAAAGGCTGTATAGCAATATATACTTAAATAAAAAACATTGTCCAAAAAATACATGTTCAATGTTGTTATTGGTTAAAAACTAAAATATGTTGTTATCACCGAAGTTTGTTTAATCACAACTATGAACGATTATCTTTTTTTAGTTGTAAAATGGTTATTTTCCATTAAAGTAGTAGTAAGAGAGTTAATGAAAATATTAATAAAAAGGGGAATTATTAAAAATGTTGAATACAGTATAATGATGTGTTTGCTTTTTATAATTTCTTAGGACCAATAGGTCACCTATTTAGCCTACAAACATGTGTTGATGTCCAAGTTTCAATTACTAAACCAAAGAAGACTTTATCTACTTTTAAAATCTCCTTCAATCTTGGTACCCTAAAACATTATTGTTTATTACCAACCCCATGTGACTTTTAGGCACAACATACATTTTTCAATCATTCGTTATCATGTAACATATATTTTTCTCTATTATAATACTATTGTATATGATGATGATATATGTACAGAAACTTAGTTTATTAAATAAAATCTTATCCATGATTTTAGGATAAAAGAAGTCAAACTTCTTAATGTTTTTAGGCTTTTAGTCTACAACTAAACATTTTAATCATTTGTTATTTATTTTTACCTAATATGACTAAATTTATAACATTGTTTAAAAATCTTAATGTCATTACCTGGACAATAAAATATATTTTTATGCCATCACCTGGACAATAAAATACATTTTTATTTTATTTATTATATATAAATTTTAATTAAATAATAAAAACGACATGTTGGCAAAAATGATGCAATTACCTTCATTAAAGTCCCAGGTTGATCTAATAAATAAGTAGAATCTCGCAACGTGGCATTCACATAGTCCCCCAATCGAATTTTCCCGATAGTACCCTTCAAAAAACAAAACGATTGCTTAATTTCTGGACTTGATTTTGACTTCTTCCTGCAAAATTCAAATTAATGGAAAGTAAATAATCATTATTTTATTTCTAACGATAAATGTATCTTTCAAATTCTTTCAAATATATCATGATTCTCAACTCCTAAAAAAACACAATTTAGCTGATCAATTTATCTTAAATACATTCTCACGGTTATTTTCATTCACAGCGAATCCAAAATTCAGAGAAAAAGAAAACGTTGCAAGAAATCTTCAAGTCGCCTTCTGTTATTGCTTTACGGTATGCTATTAATTTTTTTTTTATGGTTATTCACTGTGTGCATCTTGAAGTCGTCTGATATCTGTTTCTATCTCAATGTATTTGTCACTGTTATCAAATCTTCAAGTCGCCTTCTATTATTCTTTTATGTAGGCTATTAAAATTTTTTCTTATAATTATTGAATGTGTTCATCTTCATGTCGCATTCTATCTGTCACTATCTAAATGTATTACTCACTGTTAGTGTATGTATATATTTTAAATATCGATGTAATAAATTGTTTAGTTGTCACTCTTTATGTCAATGGTTTAAACATTGTATATGTATCTGTAACCTTGTGTGTATATGTATGTCTGTTTCTTTTTTCCCTGATTTCTAATTAGCCATGGCATGTCATTAATAATGAAATCAAAATCAAATTTCTGTTATGCTTTGTTATTTTAATATACTGATTTATTCATCAGATTAATATATTTTGTTGTCATTCAATGTGTATGCAATAAATCTTGTATAATATGCAAAAAAAATAGCTGATTTGTATCTTTGTTGTATGACTATATCGTTTCATTTTTTATATGCATGTAACAGTTAATACTCTTTCGATTATTCCAATGTGTATGCATGTGTGTGACTGCTTAACTGTTTAATTTCTTGACTGCTTAACTGCTTAACTGCTAAATTTCTTAACTGTATATGTAGTTAATCAAAAATTACAAAAATTACCGTTTTGCCCATGGTCATACATATATAGCCACAGACACACACATAGACAAATTAATATATTATGTTGTCATTCCTTTGGTTATTAATTTATAACTTGAAATGTATTCAATAACATCCAAACACTGAATGTATGTTAATAAGTCTGGAAATGGTGTACTCATCTTTTACAGTGTGTATATGTATATCTGTTTATTTCTTCCCTGATTTCTAATCAGCCATGGCATGTCATGGCTAATGAAATCAAAATCAAAATTCTGTTATGCTTTGTTATTTTAATATACTGATTTATTCATTAAATTATTATATTTTGTTGTCATTCAATGTGTATGCAATAAATTTTGTATAAATGCAAAAAATAGCTTATTTGTATCTTTATTTTATGATTATATCATTTCATTTTTTATTTTCATGTAACAGTCATTTCTTAACTGTATATGTAGCTAACTGTTTAATTTCTTGACTGCTTAACTGCTTAACTGCTTAATTTCTTAACTGTATATGTAGCTAATCAAAAATTACAAAAATTACCGTTTTGCCCATGGTCATACATATATAGGATAAAACAAGTCAAACTTCTTAATGTTTTTAGGCTAAAATTACCGTTTTATCGATAATTTCTTAGGACCAATAGGTCACCTATTTAGCCTACAAACATGTGTTGATGTCCAAGTTTCAATTAGTAAACCAAAGAAGACTTTACCTACTTTTAAAATCTCCTTCAATCAATGGATTAGTGGGGAAAAAGATCATTCAACGACAATTGATAATGATATTATTGAAGATATTAAGGTGATGTTGGATTCAAATAATGTGTTGGTTAGATCTTATAGGATGGTAAGAGATACCTTTCAGAAAAATCCTCAAGTTGATATGAAACTACGACTTATCGGGAGAAGGGAACGAGATGGAAGAACATATAACCTACCGACTGCTTCTGAGGTTGCCGCTTTAATTGTCGGTGACATTTGTGATTCAATTGAAAAGAGAGATATTGTTGTTGAAACAAAAACTTGATTTCTACAACGTATCAGTGAATTGCATCCTTCATACCTTCCTCTTCAATATACATTGTTGTTTCCTTATGGAGATGATGGTTACAGTGTTGACATTCTTCATAGAGGTGTGTCATTTACGACCAACAGCAAGCGGGCGAAATGTACAATGAGAGAATATTTCGCTTTTAGAATTCAAGATAGAGATCATTCGTTCTCGCTCATTCTTAATTCAAAAAGATTGTTTCAACAGTTTCTGGTAGATGCCTATACTATGATTGAAACTGAGAGATTGCATTACATACGTAGGCAACAACATGTTCTTAGATGCGAGTCTTATGAGAATTTACGTAACCAAAAAGCTCAAGGATCCACTAATATCTCAAATGTCGGCCAACGTGTCATATTACCTTCATCCTTTAATGGTGGTGCACGCTATATGCTGCAAAACTATTTGGATGCCATGTCACTATGTAAATGGTTTGGATATCCAGATTTTTTTCATAACATTTACGTGTAATCCCAAATGGCCAGAGATTAAAAGGTTTCTTAAGGATACTTCACTTCAACCAGAAGACAGGCCTGATATATTATGTAGGTTGTTCAAAATCAAGCTCGATGCATTTATTAAAGACTTAAGGGAGAATCAAATTTTCGGCAAAGTTCAAGCATGTAATTAAAATTATATTTTTTCATTATTGATAAAACATTACTCTTATTATAGTATATTTTTTATATGTTTTTATTGTCTAATCATATTTTGTTTTTTTTGCCAAATATTATGCAAATGTTTATACCATTGAATTTCAAAAAAGAGGTTTGCCGCATAGTCATATATGTTTATTTATGCATTCTGACAACAAGTTACCCACTGTTGAATTAATCGATCCAATAATTTCTGCCGAGATACCAGACAAAATTGAAGAGCCTGAATTGTATTCACTTGTCAATGAGTTCATGATTCATGGTCCATGTGGAGCTGAAAATATGAATTGTCCATGCATGGTGGATAGAAAGTGCTCTAAAAATTTTCCAAAACAATTTTGTCATCATTCGTCTGTTGATGAAAATGGTTTTCCGTTATATAGGAGAAGAAACGATGGTCATTTTGTAGAAAAATCAGGTGTCAAGTTGGATAATAGAAATGTTATTCCATACAACAAATATCTATTAAAAAGATATCAGGCACATATTAATGTTGAATGGTGCAACCAGGGATCTTCTATAAAGTATCTGTTTAAATACATAAACAAGGGTCCTGATAAAGCTACAGTTGCTATTGTACCAACAAACAATGAATGTGAAAATAATGATGCGGTCGATGAAATAGCTGAATATTATGATTGTAGATATTTATCTGCATGTGAAGCATCATGGAGAATTTTTAAATATGATGTTCATTGCAGGTATCCTTCTGTGGTTAGACTACCTTTTCATCTTCCTAATCAACAACATATTGTATATGGCGAAGACGATGATATCGACGATGTTCTGGGCAAACCTTCTGTTGCTGCTTCAAAGTTCACAGCTTGGATGGAATGTAATGCAATTAATAGTGAAGCACGAGAACTTACATATGTTGAATTTCCTACAAAGTTTGTTTGGGTATTAAATGGTAGGTTTTGGAAGAGAAGGAAAATAGGAAAAGCCATTGGTAGAATTCATTCGGTTTCACCTAATCTTGGCGAAGCTTATTTTTTAAGGATTCTTTTAAATAAAGTTAAAGGTCCGACATCATTTGATGAAATTTGCACGGTAAATGGTGAAACATATTCTTCTTTTAGAGATACTTGTTATGCACTCGGGCTATTAGATGATGACAAGGAATACATCGATGCAATTAAGGAAGCAAGTCACTCTAGATCTGGTTTTTATCGGCTTCTTATTTGCCACATTGTTGATGTGTAATAGTATGTCTAAACCAGAGGTTGTTTGGGAAAATACATGGGAATATTTGGCGGATGGAATTCTATATAACCAACGACAAAGGTTGAAGTCTCCAGGTATTTAATTTATTTTCTTCATTTATATTTAAAATATTTTATTTTTCTTATCAACACCCGTTAAATAATTATTATAAATATTATTAAATATTGTATTTTATATTTTATAATTAATTTAAAATTTATGGTGCAGACTTATCACTCGGTGAAGATGAAGTTAAGAACTTAACTTTGTTTGAAATAGAACAAATTTTACTTCGAAACAACTCCACTCTCAAAAATTTCACAAAGATGCCTTACCCAGATGTTGAATCAGTTTCTTCTTCGAACAATCGACTTATCATTGAGGAGCTAGATTACGACATTCCCGTTATGAAGAATGAGTTTGATCATATGTTTCTTGCATTAACAAATGAGCAACGTAATATTTTCCTTAACATCATGAGTGATGTTAAAGAAAATAAAGGAGGTGTTTTCTTCGTTTATGGTTATGGTGGAATGGGTAAAACTTTTCTATGGAAGACAATATCTGCAGCAATTAGATCAGACGGTAATATTGTTTTAAATGTTGCTTCAAGCGGTATTGCTCCGTTATTGTTGCCCGGTGGTAGAACAGCACACTCTCGATTTATACTTCCATTTGAACTTACAGAGGATTCTTTTTGTAAAATAAATCCAGATGGTGACTTGGCTAACTTATTAAGAAAAACCTCTTTGATAATTTGGGATGAATCACCTATGATCCATAAGCATGCATTTGAAGCTTTAGATCGAACTTTGAAAGATGTATTAAGGTGTGGAAATTCTAGCGTCTCAAATATTCCTTTTGGAGGGAAAGTTATTGTTTTTGGAGGAGATTTCAGACAGATTCTACCTGTTGTTCCGGGTGGCAGCAGACAGAATATTGTTAATGCTTCTTTGAGTTCTTCATATTTATGGCAACACTGCAAAGTGTATAGATTAACAAAAAACATGAGTCTAACTGTTGGAAGGGATCAACCTGATATAGAAAAAATAAGAGATTTTGCAAATTGGTTATTGGATATAGGAGAAGGCAAACTCGGTGGTCCGAACGACGGCGAAACAATTATCGATATTCTGAATGATATTCTCATTAATGATCCAGATGATCCTATAGGTTCATTAATTGAGTTTGTATATCCTTCAATTTTGGAGAAGTATAGCAGTACAAATTATTTCCAAGAAAGAGCTATACTTGCTCCAAAGAATGAAGTTGTTCAGGAAATAAACGATCATTTGCTTAAGAAGTTTCCAGGAGATGAGGTTGAATATTTAAGTTCAGATAGCCTATGTCAGTCCGAATTTGTCCATGATCAGTTTGATGCAAATTTATACTCGCCTGATGTATTAAATGGTCTTAAAGTATCCGGTCTACCAAATCATAAGTTAGTTTTAAAAATTGGTGTTCCAGTAATGTTACTGAGAAATATTGATCAGAAAAACGGCTTATGTAATGGCACTAGACTACAGGTGATATCATTGGGCAAACGTGTTATCGAGGCACGTATAATGTCTGGAACTAATATTGGAAACCGGACTTTTATTCCAAGAATGTCTTTAACTCCATTAGAAAAAAAATTCCTTTCAAATTCACAAGAAGACGGTTTCCTTTGGCTGTATGTTTTGCAATGACTATTAATAAGAGTCAAGGACAGTCGTTATCGAAGGTTGGTTTGTTTCTCAAAGATCCGGTTTTTTTCACATGGGCAATTGTATGTTGCATTATCTAGAGTACAAAGCAGAGAGGGATTGAAATTATTAATTTTAGATAAAGATGGTAGACTCACAAATAAAACTTACAATGTTGTTTATAAGGAAGTTTTTCGCAATTTATAACCAACTTCTTTGTAGCATCTTTTACTCATTTTTAGCAAAGCACATTTCATCCATCATAATAATTTATTTATTTATAATTATGTATTGTATTTTTTTTATGTTAATTTCATTACATACATATATTGTTTGTTTTGTATCAAATCAATTCCGATGTTGTTTTGGGTTTTTTGGTAGTTATTTAAAATTATGTTGCATTATATAAAGTAATATCTTTTATAAAATATGTGGATTTACATTTGTGATTAAATTCTCATAGTTTACAAATTTACTAAAAATAGAGAACATATCCTAACAAAAATAGTAACATTGAACGCCTTTCAATGTTATAGTTAGTAAGCCTAAAAAATAAACACATGACACAGTAAAACAATGTAAAGTTTTTAGAAAAACAGATGAAAACAACAACAATTTCTATTAATATAACGTGCAATCACCATGAACGATTAACAAGCAGTAAAAAGTAAGGTTTTATAAATCTTCATTTGTAGTTAAATAGTTACAATTTATTGTGTAATTAAATACTTACAAATAAAAAAATTATTTCAAAATACTATATAACTTTTCTAACTTAATGATATATTAATTATTACATAATTAAATTTTAAATTCTATTTAACTTTAACACCCGTGGGTCCCACGGGTTTTCACCTAGTGTATATATATATATATATATATATATATATATATATATATATATATTTGTTTTTTACTTATTTTTTATAAGAAAAACTGTAACAAAAGCCTTACATATTAGCCAAATAATCGATTTAGTCCTTATATTTTTTTTATTCAATTAAGTCCCAAAAACCGGTAATCGTATTCAATTTAACCCTTTTCCCTGGTCAACAGATCTTCCAACTTTCAAAAATTATATTTTTGGCCCGGATTTCAATATTTATTACAAATTTGGTCTAAAATTTACACTTTTGGCCTGGATTTTAATTTTTTTTACAAATTTGGTCCAAAATATACCCTTTTGGCCTAAATTTTAGAATTTTGTTATGAATTCATCTTAACTTTAGTTTTTTTACAACTTTTTTCTTCAAAAAAAAAAAATTTCTTTATAAAATCATATTTATACAAAAAAAACATATTTTCACATAAAAAATCTTACTTTTACTATATAAAAATTTTTTAATTTTTTTTGTATACGAAATACCAATTTATAAAATTTGGTGTTTATTAAGAACATAAATATATACAAATATGCTTTTATAAAAAAATATATACATGCATGTATTTTACAAAAAAATATATATACAAACAACTATTTTATTATAAATACATTTGTATGCAAACACATATTTTTTATACAAACACTTATTTCATAGTAACATATACATTTCTTTTATAAAAATATATTTATATGATTCAAATGAGTGTTTTCTTTTGTAAACACACACACACACACACACACACACACACATATATATATATATTATATATATATATATATATATATTATAAACACCTATCTTTATAATAAATGCATTTGTATTCAAACACATTTATATATAAAATAGGTGTTTGTAAAATACATGTCTATATACTTTTTTTTTATAAAAATGGATTGGTATATATTTATGTACTTAATAAATGCCTAATTTTATTAATAGGTATTTCGCATACAAAAAAAATTAAAAAAAGGTTTTATATAGTAAATATAAGATTTTTTATGTGAAAATATGTTTTTTTTGTATAAATATGATTTTATAAAGAAAAAACATTCGATTTTTTTTGAAGAAAAAAGTTGTAAAAAAAACTAAAGTTTGGATGAATTCATAACAAAATTCTAAAATTTGGGCCAAAAGGGTATTTTTTGACCAAATTTGTAAAAAAATTTAAAATCTGGGCCAAAAGTGTAAATTTTGGACCAAATTTGTAATAAATTTTGAAATCTGGGCCGAAAATGTAATTTTTGAAAGATGGATAACCTGTTAACCGAGTAAAAGGGTTAATTTGAATACGATTAGCGGTTTTTGGGACTTAATTGAATAAAAAAAGTATAGAGACTAAATCGATTATAAGACCAATATGTAAGGACTTTATTGCAGTTTTCCCTTTTTTGTATGTAATAATATTTAGTAAAAACTAAAAACTAAAATACCATGGTTTATTTTTACCTTAATTTAAAATAAATTTTGTTGTAATATGAGACCATCTCATGATAGCTTCAGAAAATCATAAATGCAAGTAATAATATAAAGAAAATAAAATTTAAATAATAATACTTATTAATGTTAAACACTCTATACTATATCACTATTTGTCATGCTTATATATTATATGGGTTCATTAAAAAAGTTAACTATGAAAAGGAACCTTTTTAGTAGACAAAAAATATATATCGCATATGTTTCGATTTAGACCGTTATTTAGTTAGACTTCTAAACAACGGATTGGTTAAACTAAAAAAATTACGGTTTAAAAAGACATTTCAAAAAATGACACATCAGATGACTACAATATGGAACTAGTGTAAATCATAATTGTAAAGAAAAAATAGATGGGAATTATTCGTTCTTTCGTTTCTTATTGTCTTCTATATTTTATGAAATAAATGCTTCAAGTCAATAATGAGTGAGCTTAACTGTTGGAGAATCTAGGGTTTACGTTTTAGATCTGGATATCACCTGGATCGTATGAACACTTTTCGAACTGATACTTCTACCCTATGTCTGGGTTACAAGAAATTCAGCCTAGGATAATCCAAGAGGACACTTACGATTCTAGACACAGAAATCGTAAGCCAAATTGCTAGAAGAATTTTGTGAGTGTTTTAAGAAAAACCAGAGCTAATTTTCATATATATCTTCTCAAAAGGAAGAGTCGTTTATATAATAAACAAGATTAGGGTTTCATTAGGGTTGGTTCTGATGGGTTTTATACAAACAATCCTATGTGCGCATGCAACCCTAATATGGATCTATGTTTTCACTATTAGTCATACAACATTATGAACACAAAACTAGAAACCCTAGGAGGCACATGTAATTTTTGAAATTAACATATAATTAGGATTAGGATACATACATTTATTGTTATATTGTAATAACAATCAAATCCTTGAAGATCTTGAACTTTGGTAGCAAGCGCCACAAGTGTCGCGCCTCTAATGGCTCACAAACAAACCTAGCAACCAAGGATTACTATGGAGAGAGAAGGGAAGTGGAAAATTCGGCCCTAGCCTCTCTTGGAGTGCCCTTTCACGAAGTCCAACCCTATAGGGGTTGATATAGGTGATAACGAAGGTTTAGGATAAGGCAGGTGTATCTTAGATAACCCTAATCCATTAACTTCCTCCCTAAGGCTTCCAAGGAAACCCTAGGACACTCTAGATTTCATTCCATCCCTCTAAGGGAGGTTCTAGAATGCTCAATGCTCAACTTTTGAACATTGTCATCTTTAGTCCCTGCAGTTTCAATTAATTCCTTTAATCCTAAAATTAATTCTAAATTAATTTCTGATTAAATATTAATAAACAATATGATTTCTAATTAATATATTATATCCATAATACATTAATAAATTAATTTATTAACCAAGTAATAAATTAATAAATCATTCTTCTCTCTCCAACAATAATCCTATTCAATTACCAGGTTTGAAGGCAACCCAAAAGGACATTGCTACTATCAATTCAAGTACATACCAATTATAGTTATGGGCTTAGACACCTAATCCAACAGGTTCGTCATGAGTTGCTTTGGAAGCAAGCTAGGAAATCCGAAATTTAATGAGGATTTAGGGTTTCCAAAACTAACGCATTTCGTCAGTTTTACCATAATCACCTTCAAGAATTCATTTTTCCCACTATGTCCCCATATCCTTTTAATTCTTATTCCAAGAATTACAATCTGGACCCCAGGGGCTCTGCCCCTTGGACCCCACTAGGGGCACTACCCCTATACCCCGCCAAATGGGCGCCGCCCCTTTGGAAACCCTGGACCCCTGACTTGTCGTCGAACTGACTTCTAATTCGATCTTATACATGTGTGCACTCCGCACAAACTCGTACATATATTAGAGTACAGATTATGAAGTCCTTAGCTCACATGTTAGTTCCAGTTACATAAAATGACATGGTGACACTAAAATCACCAACAACCTGCAAGTCAGTAGAGTTGTATAGTGTATATATATATATATATATATATATATATATATATATATATATATATATATATATGATCCACGAACTTGTACTTGCAATAATGATTTTGGCTAATTAATAAAATACACAAAAATTGTTAGTGAATATCACATAATACCCACATGTACATTAGCCTTATGTGATATTTCTTTAGTTGAATATTAGACCTGGCAATTCGTGTATTTGTGTCATGAAAACGTGTCAGCCACGAATTTCACACGATACGATTACACAATGAGAAATAAGATTTATCTCAAATTTTAAGATATATTTGTGTCGTGTCTCTCACAAATTCGTGTATTTGTGTCTTGAATTGTCAGGTCTATTGAATATTACTAAAATGAACATAGAACAGAAAATGAATATAACAAAATATTTATATTTTTAATTTTATTATAACATGATCAACCATTTTATAAAAATAATCTTGCAATGAGTTTCACTTTCGAAATTCTGGACGACAATGTTTGAAAAGGGGTTAGAAAACAGAAAGTATATTGCAATTTTTTCCAAAGCATCAACATTCTGGAAAACCAAAAATATATTGCTATTTCTTCAAATCTGGAAAACAGAGTGTACATTGTTATTTCTTGCAAAGAATATTCTAATGCAATTCACTTTTCTCAGTAAAGTTTAAAGAATTTGTATCCTTCAAAAATGATTATTAGGAAACATTTCAACGACTGGTTATGTGATTTTTAAAAAGATGTCGAGTTCTTGAGAACTTACTAAAATACCCTTCAATAACAACTAAGAATCTTGAATACCTAAATCAATATCCTCTATCTATCTTCAATTAACAAAAAGGTAATTAAATAGTCACTTTTCCAATTAAATTTTAAAGAATTATGTTAAATCTAAAGTCAAAAAATCAGCTTTAATAAATATGAAACTAAGTCTTTAAGTTTGGGTGTATTGGAATTTAGATGGTTTTAGTTATTATTGTAAATTGAAAATTACAATACGAAAGTACAATGTTGTCATAAACATATTTTTTTCCCTTTATTTAGTCATTTACAATGTAAATCAATAATTTTTCTCAAATAAAACAATAAGTTATTGTTTAGTATCCCTTATGAATAAGAGGCAAAGAAAAAAAAAAACAGCCCCTGAGGAAATGTCAATGAACATAAAGAAAAGGTCAATGAACATTTTTACCCAACTAAATGAGCTCTCTAAGGAGCGCTTCGTGGTGTTTGTATTTTTTTTTTTTGCAAGATTTCTTCTCGTATTTATTAAATTTGTACGTTCATCTTCTTCACTTTCAGGATCAGTGGACTCTTACCCCATGCCAAGTAGACCATGATCTATATCGTTGAGAATTTCTTTCTCCCATTTCATACTGATAGACATTTGTTGTTATTTGAGGGTATCTTAGTCTTTATTACTATTGGAGGGAATCTTACATTTTTTACGAATAATCAAATTTTACTAAAGATAGTATCATGATAAACATGCAATTTTATTGGATCATGTACCTAATATTTGCATTTGCATCATTCATGTGCATAATTTTCTTCGTATTTGTATACATATGTTCATAAGTACATATAATTTCAACAAAGTTTACAACATCATCATCTTTTTTATCGGGAATGAGAAAATACTTGAAATTGTTCATCTTGTTGTTTAATGAGTTCGGAACTCTCAATCTGCAACCATCAGCCCAAACCAATGAGCAACTTAATCATCCAAACTTGAATGTGATGTTATAAAATGTGAAATTAGTAAAAATTCTACACCAATCAACTACCCACCATCAATATTACAACTCTTTCTTGGCCAAAAAGTTTGGTGAAAGTTAGCCCCATCCTCTTGCTAGTGAGGATCTCTATTATTAAAAAGAAGAGCTTGTGTTCATAAAAGAAAATAGAAATGAAAAGTTCATGTAAACTATGAAAACAAATACAAGGGATGGATGTCCTACCAAAAACGTAATCCTTTTCATCAGGTTATAAAAAAGTAATGGTGGATGCTTGGGAGGTTAGTGGATTTCAAAAGTACAACGCATTAAGATCCGGCGATTTCGGAGGGGCGTTCTTCCCAGCGGGATCAAACGCCGTCGATTATGATTTCTTCTGTCTTCGTCTTCAATGGTCGGTAACGAGCAGGGTCCTCGGTCTTCCTTTGCTCCAATCAATAATCGGCTGGTGGATAATCTTTCTTCTTCCTTCTATATTACAAAATTTCCCCCTAATGCCGACATCAAGTCTCTGTGGGACGTTTGTGCTAAAATTGGGACGGTGGCTGATGTATATATGGCTCGGAAATTATGAAAATTGGGTAAGAGATTTGCTTTTGTTCGTTTTATTAAAGCCAGTGATGAACAACTGTTGGAACGCAGACTTCGGGATATTTGGATGGGATCGTATCACGTATTTGCTTCTATTGCTCGGTTTAATCGGCCTGTGAGTAAGAACGGAGAGGCGACTTCACAGGGGCAGGTTAACAGGTCATTGTCTCAGGGGGGGTATGTTACCCGAGCCAAGTCTAAGTCTGAAGAACAGATGGGGAGTTCTCAGGTACCTGTTCACGTCTGTTCACGTCCAGAGAGGTTCTTATGCCAGTGCAGTTAAGGGAGATACTGGTGTGAAAGATAAGCAGAGGCCAATTTCTGATGTGTGCTCTTTACAAGGAACAGAGATTGACAATCCTTTGTCAATGCAGTCTTCAATTTTCGGTAAGATGAGAGATATCAGATTGATCCCAAAACTGTATATTCTTTTGAAAGAAGAAGGATTTCCTGAGATTGTTATTAAGTATGTTTCCAGTGATTGGGTGTTTATCTCTTTTCTATCGGAGGATTCCTACACTCGGTTCAAGAAGTGTGAAGGGGTTAAGTCGTATTTTTCAGTTTTTAGACTGGTTGTTAATGGCTTCTATGTTAAAGAGCGTGCTATTTGGTTAGAAATGTTGGGTTTACCTTGTTGTGCTTGGAATGATGCTGCTGTTAAAAAGATAGCTAATATGTGGGGTGATGTTTGCTTTCTTGAAGAAGATGAGAATGCTCCATTGGCAGTAAAACGTGTGTGTGATTAAAACTGTAAAGTCTTCCTTAATTCATGATAAGATTAGGGTGGTTGCTCAAGGAATAGAATATGTTGTTACAGTACGTGAAATTTCTAATTGGGAACCTGACATGATGGAGGATGGTGATATAGATTCAGATATTCCGGATTTGTCAGGTGACGAGGAAGAAGCTGTATGTTTTGATGAAGACGAGATTGTAGGTCTTAAAGTAAAAGATGGTGAGAAGGTGGAAGAGGGGCACGAGGATTCTTTCGGTACGGAAAGCATGCATAGTAAAGGAGAAAGAGGTGCCGGGTTTGTGGATAGAAAAGGTGGGTTTTTTCAAACCAATATTACTAGAAAGGGTAATGAGGTTGCGGATGGGGGTTCTTCCTCATTCGTTGCTGCTGCCATTCCTGTTACAGATGTGAATCAAAGTGAACCGATAATGCCTACACATGTTTCTCCGGTTAGGTTGGCTGAGGATGTGATGCCAAATGGCCCAACACAAGTGGTGGATGACATGGACGGTGAGAGGGCTTCAGATTCCCTTTCACAACCTCCTGGTTTTCGGCGAAAGAAATCATCTTCTTCCTGTGGATCTACTAAATTGTTGAAAAAGAAAGTCCCAGTAGTGGTTGATGATATTGGCGATGTGTTGAAGCAATATTTTGAAATGGGAGGCCTTCTTGGGTATGATATGGAATCTAATAAGGATCGGGTGAAAAAGATTTTGTCTAGTATTGGCATGGTACAGGTGGATCAATGAATTGTCTCTCATTGAATATTTTTGGTAACCGGACTTTCTTAAAAAGAAGTTGGGTTAAGGCGTTATGTTTGCAGTTTGGAGTGTCTTTTTTGGGTTTGCAAGAAATTAGAATGACTCAAGTTGATCTGTTTAAGATCTGTAGTATGTGGGGTAATTATAGTTTTGATTTTGCATCGAGTTGTGCACGGGGACAATCTGGGGGTATTCTTTCAGTTTGGGACCCAAATGTGTTTGTTAAAAGTAGTGTTACTTGTACTAGTAATGTGGTTATCGTGGGTGGCTTGTGGATTCCCTTTAATCTTAATTGTTTTATGGTTAATATTTATGCCCCTCAAGATTTGGTGGGAAAGCAACATTTATGGGGGTACCTCTCGGCTTTTATGAGGAGGAATGGGGGTAACTATGTTTTCTTTGGGGATTTTAATGTTGTTAGAGAGGCGACGGAAATATTTGGTTCTGTATTTTGTCCTAGTTCAGCTATGTCGTTTAATGATTTTATTGACGAGAATGGTCTTATCGATGTGCCTATGGTTGGGAAGCGGTTTACTAGAGTTGATAAAATCGGAGCTAAGTTAAGCAAGCTAGACCGATTCTTAGTGTCAGATGGGTTCTTTGATAAGTTTAATCAACTTCAGGTTTCAGCTCTAGATAGGAAGCGGTCTGATCATTGTCCGATTTTGTTGCATACGAATGTTGTTGATTATGTGCCTTCTTCGTTTAAATTCTTTAATTCTTGGCTTTCTATGGCGGGCTTTGAAGATGTGGTGAAAGGTGTTGCGTCTGAGTTTGTTGGTCATCCAGATTGGAGCAAGTTTGTTGTGTTTAAAAACAAACTTAAATTTATTAAAAATAAGATTCGTTCTTGGAACGCGGAGTCTAAGGCTGCTTCTCAAATTTCTACTTCTCATTTATTAGGTCGGTTGGTAGACATTGATAAGTCTATTAATGATGGTCATTCTAGTGATGACCTTATTCGTGAGAGAAGAGGTATTCTTGGTGATTTGGCGAATCTAGAAAAAGTTAGATCTCTTGATGTTGCGCAAAAGGTTAGATCGACTTGGGTTGTGGAGGGTGATGAGAATTCTGCATTTTTTCACGCCTTATTGAAAAAAAGAAGACGTCAAATGATGATTAGAGGTGTGTCTATTGATGGGGAGTGGATTTCAGAGCCTTCTAGGGTGAAAAAGGCTTTTTATGACTTTTATGTAGCTAAATTTCAGCCGTTCCGAGGTGTTAGTCTGAATCGGAGAAGCCATAGATTCAAGTCCCTTGATTCGAGAGTTGCTTCTTCTCTTGAAGTGTTGTTCACGGATGATGAGATTAAAAAGGTAGTGTGGGATTGTGGAGTGGACCGTGCCCCTGGTTCTGATGGTTTCACTTTTCGGTTTCTTAGACACTTTTGGGAGATCCTTGCTGGTAATGTTATAGCTTTTGTCCAAGAGTTTTTTAATAAACCGAATTTCCTGGTGGGGTGTAACTCGTCGTTCGTTACTTTGATTCCAAAAGTGGATAATCCGATTCATATTAATGATTATCGCCCTATTAGTCTTATCGGTTTACAATTTAAGATTATTGCTAAATTGTTGACTAATAGGTTAGTTCCGGTGTTACATGATGTTATTGGGATGGAACAGTCTGCTTTCCTTAAATCCAGGAAAATTTTGGATGGTCCTTTGATGGTGAATGAGTTGGTCAAGTGGTTTAAGAAAAAGAAGAAAAAACTTATGTTGTTTAAGGTTGATTTTGAAAAGGCGTATGATTCGGTGAGTTGGGAGTATCTGGATAAGATTCTTTCGTTTCTCGGGTTTGGTGAGAAATGGAGAGGTTGGATTCGGGGTATGTCTTCAAATGCTAGATCTTCTGTGTTGATTAATGGTAGTCCTACGGATGAGTTTCAACTTTTCAGAGGTCTTACGCAAGGGGATCCTCTCTCTCCTTTTTTGTTTTTCATAGCTATGGAAGGTCTTCATATTGCGGTTGAGGATGCGGTTGCGGAAGGGGTGTTACAGGGCGCCCCGTTGGGATCTGATAATGTTACTATATCTCACTTGTTTGATGCAGATGATGCTATTTTCTTAGGGGAGTGGGATGCTTCTAATATCCAGATTTTGATTCGTATTTTGAGATGTTTTTATTTGGTGTCGGGCTTTAATCTTAATCTTACTAAATCTAAGCTTTTTGGTGTAGGAGTCAATTCGTTGGAGGTTGCTAGCTTAGTTTCTTTTACTGGGTGTTCGGCTGGTGTTTTTCCTTTTGTCTATCTTGGTATTCCGGTTGGAGAATCTATGACGCGTATTAAAGGATGGCAAGTTATCATTGATCGATTCAAGAGGCGTTTAGCTTCTTGGAAGGTGAAGTTGTTGTCCATTGGAGGCAGGCTGACTCTTCTTAAATCTATTTTGGGGAGTTTGGGTATTTTTTTTCCTATCTATTTTTCGTATTCCTGTGTGTGTGTCGTCTTTTTGAGGCGTTAAGGGCTCGATTTTTTGGGGGTATTGAAGAAGGTTAGAATCGAATTCATTGGGTTAATTGGAATTTGATTTTAAATTCTCATGAGCAGGGAGGTCTGGGGGTTGGCAGTTTGGATGCTTTTAACTTAGCTCTTCTTTATAAATGGAAGTGGCGATTTCTTAATGAACCGGGTGCTATTTGGGTTAAAATTATTAAGTTTTGTTATGGAGATAGTGGTGGTTTTTCGGATGGGCAGAGATTAAATTATGGAGGAGGGGTTTGGAATAAAATTGTCGCCTCTATTAACCAACTTCATGAGAGGGGTATTATCCCTTCTAATTCTTTGCAAAGGGTTGTTGGTGATGGGGTACATACTAGATTTTGGACAGATGCTTGGTGTTCGGACATTCCTCTTATGGTGAGATTCGGAAGACTTTTTGCTTTGGCTACCAATCAATATGCTCGGGTTAGTGAGTTTTGGTCTTCAGTTGGTTGGACGTTCCATTGGAGGCGTGGGATTAGAGGAGGGATTGATTCGACTCAATTTGATGATCTTGTGGAGTTGTTGTCTCCTATTCGGTTAGGGGTGTTGCCTGACAAGTGGATCTGGAATTTAGATTCTTCGGGTATTTTTACTGTTAATTCTACAAGGAAATGGGTTGATGATAAAAGACTACCTTTAGGTAGTTTTCCTACTAGATGGACCGATTTGTTCCAATTAAAATAAATATTTTCCTGTGGCGTGTTATCTTGGATCGTATCCCGGTTAGAGTTAAACTAGTAGAAAGGGGGGTGGAGTTAGATTCCTTGTTATGCCCGGTGTGTCATAGTTCACAAGAAAGTGTAGATCATCTTTTTCTTGTCTTGTTCGGTTGCAGTGCAGGTTTGGAGACGGGTTGGCCATTGGTTAGATTTGGATATTCAAGATTTTTCTTCTATTAGTATTATGTTGGAGTGGATGGACGCTAGACCTTTTGCTCGTATGGAGCGGGTGATTGTTGAATCGGTGTTTATGGTAGTTATATGGGTGTTATGGACGTATCGTAATGCTTTACTTTTTAGTAGTCCTAAGCCTAGAAAAGATAGACTTTTTGACTCAATTGTGGAAATTTCTTTCCGTTGGTTTACTTCTAGGAATTCTATGGCTAGGATCAGTTGGATGATGTGGATGCAAAACCCTATTCTGATGTAACTTGTGTTTCCTCTAGCTTCTTGCTAGTGTGTTTTTGTTTTTGTTTTATAAAATGTGCTGCAGTTCTAAAAAAAACATAAAGAAAAAAAATAATGATGAAGCACCCAATATGCACCTGTAACAACAAATAAATATTAATCATCGTTAATTATAGTTGAAGAATACATAATATAATCTTATCCAATGTTGTAAAACTCGTTGAGTTTGCCGATACTAGGCCGAGTACTCCCTACTTGGCCGCCTTCCGAGGCGAGTTACAGAATCTGAGTACTCCCCGATCGAATGAAACGAGCAATGTTGTAAAACTCAGACAACATGGTGATTAATATGTATAATGTACTTTAGATTTATTATTTAACACACACACATGTGATCATTACTATATATATATATATATATATATATATATATATATATATATATATATAATTTTCAGTAATTATTCACGAAGTGAGAACATTATGTGTTTTTCAGTTTTTGTGTATTCACATGTATCTAATGTTGTTATATATTTCAATCAACTTATGATTTTGACATATATATTTTCCCTAAAAATATTTCTACATGAATTAATGAATCCAAGTACTCCCCAAGTACTCCCGAGTACTGGTTACTCGACAGTCGGCCGAACACCAAGTATCGAGTTCTACAACCTTGATCTTATGGAAAAAGGAAAATTATGCAAATAAAACTTCATTGAAGCTGCTAGAAAACAGAATATATATATATATATATATATATATATATATATATATATATATATAATCATTAGAACAACAGAGGTGGTGAAACATGCAAAAAAACATAGTTGGGTAATGCGAAAATGTAAATTTGAATTATGTTTGTCAACTGGGAATCCTTAAAAAAACCAGCAATGCAATGACATAATTGTTGGATATAGTGTCTAAGTCCATAACTTTATTTGGTATGTACTTGACCCGACCCGGCATGGTCCATTTGGGTTGCATGGCATTGCAATACTTGGATAGACTAAATGAGAGAAATGACACTTGTGATTATTAATATATTATAAGTTCTAATATATTAATAATAGTATTATTTAATTAGTGTTGATCAAGTATTAATTTAGAATTAATTTGGTGATCAAAATGAGACTAATTAAATGTATAGGGTTGATTATGACAATCATCTAACCTTTTATGGTGGATTCATGATCCATGGTTTATGGTGTTGGGTTATAACCATTTGGGGCTCCATGGATATGAGAGTTACAAACCCATGGATCATTAGAAATGAAGAGTCATGACAATTAAGGGCATTCATGTGTAAACCCTAATTGTGACAACACTATAAAAGGAACCCTATAGCTAGCAAAATCGGCCACTAGTTGATTCTA